CCGACTCTTAATTTCGACTCAGGTCATGATCCCAGGGTCACAAGATTGAGCCCTGCATTGGGCTCTGCGCTAAGCGTGGACCCTGCTTAAGAATCTCTTTCTCCCTGTCTCCCTGCCCCTTCCCTGCTCATGTTCTCTCTCTCTCTCTCTCTCTCTCTCTCTCTCTCAGAAACAAAAGTCATTGATTCAAGAAGAGGGAAATCAGGCCCCACTTCTAGATAGATGGTAAAATAATTATAGATGGCCATCTTTGAAAAAGAAACCTTCAAAGTATGTTAGTGATTAGACACTTAGAGAAAAAAATAACTCAAAGTTGACGATCAATGCAAGGTGATGGGCGCCTGGGTGGCTCAGTCAGTTAGGCGTCTGACTTCAGCTCAGGTCATGATCTTGCGGTTCGTGAGTTCAAGCCCCACATCGGGCTCGGTGCTGACAGTTCAGAGCCTGGAGCCTGCTTCAGATTTTGTGTCTCCCTCACCCTCTGTCCTTCCTCTGCTCGCTCTCTCTCTCTCTCAAAAATAAACATGAAAAAAAAAATTTTTAATTTATTAAAAAAAAAAAAAAAGACATGTATGGAGAACTGGCCATCATACACTAGGGACTACAGGCTGCACTGAACAAACTCCAATGTGGTACTGAAATGGGAGCTACTTCGTGGCTTGTGTGAGCTTCAGCTCTTGGAACTTCTTTGTCCTCTTGAGAAAAGTGACATGAGCACCCAGTACCCAGATCTTGGTCTCTAAATATCATTCTCCAATAAAAGGAACCAGGGTTCCCGAGAAAAAAAAAAAAGCTGACTCTATGGCCAAGACAGAAACACTACAGGATGAGCCTAGGATGTCTTGTGATGCCAGGGAGGAAGTGCACCTCCCCCAAAAAAGGACATGTCAAAGGGACACAGGGGCCAATGTGAAAGAACTCCCTGTGAACAGGGCTGGAACAATAGGAGCAGCAAAATAACCATAGATTGGAACCCAAAATATTTTTTAAAATATTGAGCCCATAGAGATATATATAAATGATTGATACATTTAAAAATGGGGAGAAAGGGGTGCCTGGGTGTTTCAGTCAGTTAAGCATCCGACTTCGGCTCAGGTCATGATCTCACCACTCGTGAGGTTGAGCCCCATGTCGGGCTCTGTGCTGACAGCTTGGAGCCTGGAGCCTGCTTCTGATTCTGTGTCTTCTCTCTCTCTGTCCCTCCCCCACTCATGCTCTCTCACTCTCAAAAATAAACATTAAAAAAATTTTTTAATTAAAAAAAAATAAAAATGGGGAGAAAAAAGACAAATCTTCCTTACAGAATAATTCCAAGTAACATATGAGAATTCCCTTCCCAGGAGGTGGAGCTTGATTGACCTCCCCTTGAATGTGGGCTGGACTTCGTGACTCACTTCCAAAGAATAAAATATAGAAAGAAAAAAAAATTACTACTAAATGCAAAGTTACTACTTTATAGTAGAGAAGTGTGGCAAAAATAACTTTAACCAAGTATTTCTAGTAAAACCTTGAAGATCACCTATGACAGGAACAAAATTGCCGAGCATGCTCAGTGGACTTCAATATTTCTAAGTACCCCACCTCCACAAGAGTTTCATCTGAAGGACACAGTAATTCATGTCAGTCACCTCAGTCTGCCAATCCGCTGGGTAAGCATGCAGTATCAGCACACTGGCCTCGGGGAGCTCTGCAGCCCTTTGACCTTGTGGATGATGCTTCCCATAATCCTGTGATTGTGCCTGGCTGAAGACAGGCTCCTCCTACAAAAGCCAGGCCCAACTCTCATTTGATTAAGTGTCTATTAGCCATAAAGCCTTTTCCCATAAAGGAGCGGGGCGGGGGGGGGGGGGGGGGGGGGGGGAAGACTCTATTAAGACACTATGAGACACCCAAGAATAACAAAAATAAATCTACACCGTAACATAAATTTAGGTAATCTAGCTTACATATATTTCCATGATTTCCATGATTTATTTCCATGATTATGAGATCCAAAACTCATTCAATAGATTTGAGCTGACTCAAGTAGCAGACTTTCTTTTATACCAATTCTCACAGATGAACAAGACCCAAATCCATAGACTCTATTTTAACTCGGGGTTTAGGACCACCCACTGCAAAGTATTGGAGGTTAGTCCATTTTAGAGTTCATAACCTAAAATAGAACCTCAGATGCCTAGTTTTCAGAAAGGGTATTTTGCTATTAGTGCATCATTTAGATTCTTACAGAATTTATTTGTTGTATTTTCTTAATGGCTACTAATCTTGCTTTTAATTTATAAATGTGGTTAGTTTAGCTTCAATGTTGTTTGCTTATAGTTTAACCTTATACTGGATAGTTTCCCACAACCATAACAGCAGTTAGGGCCTCTTGTGTTCTAATAATTAAGACTTTAAGGGGCGCCCGGGTGGCCCAGTTGGTTAAGCGTCCAACTTCGGCTCCAGTCATGATCACATGGTTTGTGAGTTTGAGCCCCGCATCAGGCTCTGTGCTGACAGCTCAGAGCCTGGAGCCTGCTTCACATTCTGTCTCTGTCTCCCTCTGCCCCTGTCTCTCTCTCTCACAAAAATAAACATTAAAAAAATAAGATTTTAAGCCACGCCTACACTGCAAGTCAAATATGAATCATGCATAACCTTATCACTAAGAAATATGAAGAAGCTTCTTTTCCTCCTCAAATCCTACCAAAGTTCTTGGCTCTTCCACTTAAAAGTGGGAACATGTCAGCTAATGGGGAATGTGGGGTCTTTGGCCTCATCTAAAGTTGCTTCAGCCACCGCCCCCCCAAGTTTGAGAGCCACTGACCTCCAGGAAAGTCAACCTCCCTGTTCCTGGATCCCCATGCTATGGCAAAGGCCATCTTCCTTCCAAATTCAGCATGATGTCACAAAGATAGTGAGCTGGTTAGCAGCTGTCCATCCTCCAGCCATCTTGTCTTCTATTTTTTTCTGCCTGAGAGTCTACCTTTTTCCCAGATGATCAAAATTGGGACCATCCACTCCCTTATGAGGTATCCAGCCACAAGACATTTCAGAACATACTGCAAGAAAGTCAACATGTATAAATGCTCACACCACACATGGTGTGTGAACAGAGCTTTTGTTCTCATGCAGATTTGAAGAAAGGGTTCACGAGTTCAACAAAGCTTGAGACCCGTTACCAGTGTCAGGCTCTTGTCAGGAGCCGAGGTTAGAGTGACACAACAGTGCCCAGAACTACCAGAGAATGCAAACCCCTACAACATGTAGTGCACAACAGACAAGAAAAAATGCCATTCTGGGCAGCAAGAGAAAAAGGAAAGACTTTAGTAACCAATACTTAAGCCAGCTATAACCTTTCAAGTCAGAGAGAACTGGGCATGAATTCTCCAGGTTTCTCTACCAACCAGCTGTGGACCTTGAGCACATGTGGCAGAGACGGCCCCAGTAGGTACTCACTGAATGAATCCTGAAGGGAACCCTCTGAGCCAGTTTCCTGACACTAGCAATGTAACTTGGACCTTGCAGAATTGAAATGAGAAAAGATACAGCGCTAGGAAAAACAGACTTAAGTCCTAGTAGGCTGGGCACCAGTGTTCTAAAGCAAGTTCTGCCTAAACTAGCAGGAATGTTTTCACCTCAGGAAGACTGTCTAGGGCCAGATTGGGAGGGAGGTGAAGATAGGGGCAGGGCCCTGGGCAGGGCCAGTCACTGAAGCGAGGCCAAGGCCTGGAGGGAAAGAGCCAGTTCCTGGTGGCTGTTGGGCGGCTCACACAGCTCCCTGCTACATCAGCCATGGTCCTCCCTCTGCCCTGGCTCTCATGTTGCTGCCGTCGCCTCCTCCTGCCTTCCTGGCCCCTGGGGCCCCAGGGTTCCTGGAGGTGCTGCTCCCAGAGCCCTAAGGCAAGCACAAAAGAGCAGACCAGCTCCACATGCAGTGAGAAGATGAGGTCACCGCCAAGGGTAAGTAGCACCAAGAGTGGGGAGACCAGGGGGGAGACTGGCATGAAGGAATCCCTTTTTGTCACAGTCCTGCAAGTAGATGCCACCCCCCCCCCAAGTTTGTGTCCTACTTCCCATCCCCAGATCCCCAGCACCTTCCCCACCCCCACCCCACTCTAGACCTCAGGGCTCCCTCTCCCCACAGAGCTCTCTCCTTGCAGAGTCCATGAAGTCCTTGAACAGGAATTTCCCCTCACCTAACAGTTAATCATTTCTTAGTTGGGGGCGGGAGGGGAGGAGGTGAAGGGACTGCTAGTCCTCACCTCTCATGACCTCTCCTTACACAAGTTCAGTTATCGCCCCTGAGCAAACTGCCCCCCAGAGGCCTATCCCCAAGACCAAAATCTACCCTGGCTTCACAGTATAGGTGACCTTAATATAATGGGATCGAAAGGTTAGAGGCAAAAGGCCTGACTTCCAGCAAGCCTCAGCCCCCTACCCTGGCTGATGCTCCCTCCCCTCTGCCCCCCTCACTCAGGGTCCCCGGCCCAGCCCCACAGCTGAGCTGGCCCAAGCTGAAGAGTTGCTGGAGCAGCAGCTGGAGCTGTACCAGGCCCTTCTGGAAGGGCAAGAAGGGGCTTGGGAAGCACAGGCCCTGGTGCTCAAGATCCAGAAGCTGAAGGAACAGATGAGGAGACATCGAGAGAGCCTAGGAGACGCCTAAGCTTTCCACCAGTTCCCACTTTACCTTCCAACACTGGAAACACTACACACCACCCACACTGGGCCTTCGGGTCAGAAACATCCCAGCCCCTCCCAGGCCACTAAGAAAAATGGAAAACACCTCAAAAAGGGCAGAAATTGGAAAGCAGCAGGGAGCCATGGCCTCTGCAGTCTTCTTAGTCACATCCCCCTACCTTTGATCCCTCCCCACTGACCTGGGCCCCACAGTAGGGCACCCAGTCCTTATAGGAATACACACTGAATCATGGCCTCACTTCACCCTAAATCCAATAAAAGGATGGAGCATTTATAGACACCACAGACACATGTGTTTTTTAGTTTTGTTAAAAAAAATTCAGACAATTCAGGAAACAGGAGTTTAGGAGTGGTGGTGATGCAAAAGGGGGAAGTCGTAGGGTGGGGGGTGGGGGTTGCCAGGGAAGGTGGCAGTAGTGTCTCCTTCACCCCCATATGCCTGCTGTCATCTCCTGAAGAGGGACAGACGGTCACATTCCAAAACTATGGGTGAGTCCTCTACCGCGTCTGTTCAACTGAAGAGAAAACATGGCACGATTAGAATAAGAAATGGAAATGGCGAGGCTGGCAGAAACACCCCCCATTACATGCAGATGTCTGTAGTTTGTGGGTGCAGAGGACACACTGGAAGTGGGGACAGAAATAATCTGTCATGAGAAAAAGACCCCACACAGAGGACAACTACACATCCCAACAAGGGCATCAAGATCAGGGGACATGAACTTGTCGAGTGCCTGTTATGCACCAGAGACCTTATTTATGTAAATGGGATTTAAGACAAACACACTAAGAACAAGGAGACTGAAGAGCCAGTCTCATGAGATCAATACTCACTGTAGGAGGAAATGTCTATCTCATCAGGCAGCTCACTAATATTGACTTCAAAGCGATCCTGCACGTCATTGAGGATCTTGGCATCGTTTTCATCTGACACAAACGTGATGGCCAAGCCCTTGGTGCCAAACCGGCCTGCTCGGGCCACCTGGAAGGAGACAGAGGGTGGCACTGGGAAGACCCAAAAGTAGGAAGACACCCAAAAGGAGGGATGAGAACATACGGTATAAAGACATAGGAAATCGGGAGGTGGGAGGGGACACTGGGATGTCCGTGTGGGCGTGCAGCTTACCCGATGCAGGTAGGTGTCAGAATCCTCAGGCATGTCATAGTTGAAGGCAATGTTCACCCGTTCAATGTCCATGCCTCGGCCAAATAGGTTGGTGGCCACAAGAATTCGTCGTTGAAAATCTTTAAACTGCTGATAACGAGAAAGCCTCTCCTCCTGGGGCATCCCTCGGTGGATGGCAATGGCTGGGAAGTTCTGCTCCACTAGAAGCTGGGCCAGGGCAATGCAACGCTGCACAGACTTCACAAAGATCATCACCTGATTGAACTCAAGGACATCGAGAAGGTCAAAGAGCTTCCGGTTCTTCTCGTTGTCCTTCAGTTTCACGTAGTACTGCTGCAACCCATGCAGCGTCAGCTTCGTCTCATCATCCACGAAGATCTCCATTGGCTGGGGGGGAGGGGGGAGGAAGGGGTGGGGAACGGGAGGAGGGCAGAGTGGGGGGGTTAAACCTGGGGGGGTGGAGGAACTTGATCTCCAATACACCCCATGGGGGGGATGGGGAGAAGAGAGAAGATTGAAAACCCCACCACATCCCCAAAAATACCCCCATTTTAATGTGGTCTCTTCCACATTAGATCTAATTTCCTTCCTATCAAGTCTTAAGACTGCCCAGCTACAAACTGTCATGGGAAGGGAAATTTGCAGGGAGGTAAAGGAGCAGTGAGACCACCCAATGGCAAGATGCCATTACCTCAAAGGGAGGTGGTACAGGAAAGAAAACAATAGGAGATGATCCCCTAAGGGCCAATATGATCCAAACACCTGGGAATTGGTGGGACACAGTGACTCAAGGTCAGAATAACTCCACCAAAGCTGGTTATAATACAAGGGAGAGAACAGAAATTGCTCCGAGTATCCTCCCAACTAAGAGAATCATATCCACATTAGGAGGGTGGATATCTGTTAAGATCAGAATACTACAATGGACAGTCAAAATGCCATAAAAAGAGAAGCAAACGTTACTCAAGGCGAGTAACAACTTGCCCTCAGACCACAAGGGAACAAAGGGAACAGAACATTGGTCTCTGAACTAACAGCCAAACCAACTATAGTGTTACATGGAAGGTACCAACAGATGGTGCTAAGAAACAAATTCAGAGCAGTAGATATACACTCATCTTAAAAAAAAAAAATACACACACACACACACACACACACGCACAAAACCCTTGAAGGGGAGGAAGGTAGCATAAAAAAATAAAAACACAAATTGACACAAGACTCCACTCTAGAGCCCAACTTTCCTAGCACTCTTCACTAACCTGGGGACATAATTAACATGAACACCCAGGGTCCAAGATTTTAGGAAAGGATGTGTGCCACGGGAGAAAACCAAAAGCCCAATCCCAGAAAGCTAGCAGGATAGCAAAGGCAGGCTTTCCAAAAAGAAGTTCCATGATCTCCTTCAAATCTAATTCTAGCCCCACGTATAGCTAAAAATAGCAAACATCCCATGGGGCGGAGCAGTACAGGATGGGAAAAGAACACACTGCACTACTTATACGACAGGCCCCGTCTAGCCCCAAACCCTAACACCCACCTGGTTACTTCCAAGTGGAGCTCCTCACTTTACCTTTCCCACATCCCTCTCCTTTGAGTATTAAAAAAAAAAATGTCTTAAAAAAGAAAAAAAAAAATCTACCCCCCCTTTCAGGACACCCCTCCCCCCAACACATATGGGGGGAAACGGGGAGCACGGCACGCCTTGGATTCAGGAAAAAAACCGGGAACGGAAAAAGAGGCTGGTTTGGTCCTCGGCTTCCTGGTCAGGTTTCCCCGCGGCCTCCGCTGCCGCCATCCACCGCTGGTGCCGTCTGCATTTCCCCCGCCGCTCCACGGTGCTTCTCCGCTGCCGGCTCACATCAACCGAGCTTCCGGATGGGTGCGAGGAGGTATGGATGGTAAGGAGTAAGGGATCGGGGACTGAGGTGCCAGAGGCCCCCACCCCTGGAGGTGGGGAGGGAGCGGATTCATTTGTGCTGTTTGCTCTTCTTTTGGACATGCCCTGCCATCTGTCTGTCCCTCTCTTGCTCTCCTGCCACCGGGAGGTTATGAGTTTTGAGGAGCAGAAGGCTCCAACTGTGTGCTCGATGCCACCTTGAGGGTGCGTGGCTGTAAAGGGGTGTATAGGAGACGATGGGTGGGTGGTAGGGCAGAAAATCCTGCCCTCCCCCAAAAAGGAAGAAGAGGTTCAAAAATGCTGTGATGAAAAAAAAAGGTCGAACACTACCCGCTCTCAAGTTAACCCGACCAAGTCTTCCGGAGTTTCCCTGGCGCCCGCGCAGACCCTAACACTAGCTGTCTCTGCCTCTATGTGTCTCTTCAAGGAGTCATCACTCCCAGATGGGCACGTGCCCCCTTCTTGGCACTTGAAGGACAAGGGAGTCTGGAGGAAGAGGGCGCGGAAGGGGAGGAGGCAGTGGGCGGGGAGTGGAGGGAGAGAAGGTAGAAGGGTATTTACGTCTTGCATGAACTTGCGGCAGACTGGACGGATCTCTTTGCTCAAGGTAGCACTGAACATCATGACCTGCTTCTCATGGGGGGTCATGCGAAAAATTTCCTGGACATCCCGACGCATGTCTACAAGAAAAAGGAAAAAGACCGTAAGACAAGTAGCATACATCATAGACAAAGACCAGAGACAGCCCAATGAGGTGATGGCTGCTGGAAATGGGTAAGAAACAGTCATTTCACAGTAAGATTTGTCTCAGGTCTTCATTTATTCTGACCACCGTAAAATCACATCCATTGTAATAACACAATAGAAACAGCACACAGTGGAATCTGAAATAAAGACTTGGGATCGGATTCCAGCTGTTTTAACCAGACAAGAAATGAGACGAAAAAACCCCAAAGCTCACAATTATGATATGGAGATAAGGCCCACTGAAGAGGCTCTTGAGTATAAGCATAAGCATAAACTTACAAGCATAAGACCCTTGAGAAATTCTTTACAAGGCCCTTGTCCATACTTTCTCCCCACACCCCTGCTGTCTACAAATATTGCGCACCAAATTACATTCCAGTTGTCAGAGTCCATTTCATGGCTCCTCTGGATCATGCTTTCCTATCCAGCCAGGCAAACAAGACATCTCTCCCTGGAGCCCATCTTAGAGCTCACGTTAAAATAGTCAAAGATCAGGGGCACCTGGGTGGCTCAGGTCATGATCTCAGTTTGCGGGTTCGAGCCCCGCATCGCGCTCTGTGCTGACAGCTCAGAGCCTGGAGCCTGCTTCAGCTACTGTCTCTCTCTTTGCCCCTCCACAACTCCTGCTCTGTCTCTCTCTCAAAATTAAACATTAAAAAAAAATTTTTTTTAGGAGTCAATCATTTGGAATAACTTGTCCCTGGGGCCACGTCCATCCCAACGCTCTGATTTATTAAATGTGAGTTCTCACAATTTTCCTTTCTTAACCGCACGTGACACACTGAAATACAGAAAAACCCCATAAACTCTCCACGTTAATCCTAGAACTTAGGTCTAAAGATTTACTCAGCTATAAACTGATAGATGCTGTGCAGAGAATGCCAGAGAGTAAATGGCTTCTTCCTTCAGTTTATTACCCCACCCCTGACACCCAGTATAAGAATCTGTAAAGGAGAGAATAGTGGTGTGAGCAATGTCTAAGATCAGCAAAGTCACTCCTCTCAAAGAAACAAAACCTCTATCACAGGACAAAACACACTTCTCCTTGCTCACCCAAGTTCCTTAAAAGGCCTCACAAAAATCAACAGGGGAGCCAGAGCCATCAGTCATGGGTGATAGATGAAGAGTCGTCCCAGCACTAAAGTGCTCCTGAATCAAAAAAACATCATTTGGCTCTAAAGGGCAACTCCCTGATCACCAGCCCCCTTGCCAGCACTGCCACTCACCGAGCTGTTCAAGCATCTTATCACATTCATCCAAGATAAAGTGTTTAATGTGTTTGAGATTGAGGCTCTTATTTCGAGCCAGGGCTAGGATGCGGCCAGGGGTCCCCACGACGATATGCGGGCAGTTCTTCTTCAGCACCTCTTCATCCTTCTTGATAGACAGACCACCAAAAAACACCGCGACCTGTATTAACCCAGAAAAAAACAGTGTCTCACAAGGGAGGAAACAGTCCAATCTCCCCGCACTTCCCATCCTTTCAGTTTAATCTAAGTGAACTTTGAGTATTTCAAAGGTAAAATGAACATCAAAGACCACCTGACCTAAAATTCTTATTACATTCCCCAAACGCTGAAGCTAAGAAACATAAGTAACTTGCCCAGAGTTATGTGGCTAATCAAGGAAGTCAGGACTAGCACTTTCTTCTGACTTAATCTAATAATCTTCCTTCCCATGATGCTATGGCCACACTTCATTGTAAGAAAGGACAGCAAGAAATCACCAGAGTGCAAAGCACCATAAAAAGCTCATGAACATCAAGTTTTCCTAACCGAACTCAGATTTTTAAATGCCCCTTCACAAACCCTATGAAGTTACGGTTTCAAGCTGACCACATTTCTCCATGTTATAAACATTAAGAAAAGATCTGCTGAGGATCTAGTCTTTACTATAGCATCACATGACACCAGAAACTGCTTTCTAGTTTCAAGGAGAGAAGATCAAGTACAGGATCAGACTGTCACAATGAAGCTAAAATCACTCATTACGGAACAACCAAGTTTGCAACAAAACAGGAGGTACACAAAATATCAACTATGAAGAATTCTTGCCAAAAATGTTTAACTTCAGTCAGTTGAGCTTTCAAACTCGTATTTCAGTTAAAGGAAACACTAAGGGGAAAAAACAAGTTAAAGAACCACGTAAGGGAGTAACCAGACAAATCCAGAGACAGGATATTCTATAGAACTAACCCAACCTTTTGAACGAATCACTTTAGCACAATTTTAAACAAAAGTAAGAATTATGTCATGACAATTTGCAGTTGATCTTAACACCAAGAATATTCTCTTTTCGGGCGCCTGGTTGGCTGAGTCAGAAGAACATGCAACTCAATTTTGGAGTCATGAGTTTCGGCCCCACGTTGGGTTAGAGATTAAATAACCTTAAAAAAAAAAAAAAAAGGTTCTCTTTTGAGCCACATGAGCTGATTAGCTGGACCTATAGAGGAGGAAGTACAATTCTAGCTCACTAATAAGCCCAACAATGCATGTTTCCAGTCATAACAATGGAAACCGTTTTTCTGGTTTTCAACTTTTTAGAATCAACCAGCAGCAAGACCACTCCAGTTAAAGGACAGAAAGTGAATGTCAATGATGCTGAAAATTTAAGAAGAGAGATATTACTTCACACACATATATAACATTTAGATTACTTTTAAAGGATTAAAATTTTCAAATAACAAAACAACACGAACAAACATCTCTCATGAAAAGAAATCATAAACACCTGAAGTTTGATAAACTGAGAGAACAGTGCCAATACCTGGTGTCACAGAACCATTAGGGAAAAAAGCAAAAAAATAAAAAAGTTAAAAAAAATAAAGGTTAACTAGCGATTACCTTCCGTAAAGTGCAATTAGAGACAGGAGAATACAAATCTTTTTGTTATGAAACCTTTTAGTTTACTCAAAACATGTTACCACGAGATACTGATCATTATTACTTTGGTTTTTAAGAAATTATTTTTAGTTTAGCACTAGGACTCAACATTCCTAGTTACTTTAAAACATAAAATAATGAGTAACAGGAGAAAATCACAACAATCCAAACAGAAGTACTATTCTTTACCACATCCTAGCCAGAGAGGTAGAAAAGTTATACACATCAGTGCTTCTCAAACTCCAATTACCTTAAGATCTTATTTGAATACATATTCATACTCAGTAGGTCTGGGGTGGTACCCATATAATCTGCATTGCCATCAAGCTTCCAAATGATGCTGAAACTTTGGGTTTGGAAACCACACTATAAAAACCAAGGTTATATACAGAAAACAACCCAAGCCTACTCTGTTGTGGCCACCAAACATCTTTCAATTTTCTGCCACTTTCAGGAATCCTCTAAATTCACACACCACACTAGAGATGTTTTGGAGTTTCCAGCTTCTCTTGCCACACACCCCAAAATTCTCAAACTCAACCAAAGCACAGTGAAATCATTCAAAGTCAGTGTAAAGAAATAATAAACAAAAGCGAGGTCTCATGGTGAGCACCCTTCATAGCCTAACCATGCAGTCTCCTGCTGCACAGCTATATCCAATCTGTTAAAAACTAAAGCAAACTAAGATTCTCCAAAATTAGAGTAAAGCAAACATCTCAGAAATTATAATGTGTACTCAAACGAACCGTAAACTGTAAATCCCTTGCATACCAAGGTCTGCAGAAACTTACCACCTAGAACGTGCAAATGACATTCATATAAAGATAATTTAACATCTATGGACATGAAGACGGTTGACCTACAAGTCTTCAATGCCTACAACTCCCCCCACCCTCATCCTCCCAGGTGTCTTTACCCTGGCTTACCTTGACATTGGGCATGTATTTAGAAAAGCGCTCATACTCCTTGCTGATCTGAAAAGCCAACTCCCGAGTATGACACATCACCAGCACAGACACCTTGGGGTGGGGAGAGCAGACAGAGACAAACAGTATATCCCTTTACTATCTCCTCGGGGAAGTGATGGTCACAAAAATACATTTGACAGATTATAAATGACCTCAACTCTGAGATCTAAGTCGTTAACCACATAATTTCTATGCAATATCCCACATGGCCATCAGAAAAAGGTAACCGAGGTCACCTTTGCAACAAACACCCGTGGCTCTGATTGCAGCTTGTGGCTGAGGCAAAACACCCTTCTCAAAAATTCCTAACCAAAATGTCTTCCACAGCACTTTCCCCAAACGTACCTGTCCAGTAACCGGCTCCAGCTGTTGCAGTGTGGCCAGCACAAACACTGCTGTCTTTCCCATGCCTGACTTGGCCTGGCATAGAACATCCATTCCCAAAATGGCCTGAGGAATGCACTCATGCTGGACTAGAAGGAGGGATGGGGGGAGAGATAAATTACACTTCAGTCTTCAGTAACTCCACAACCTTTTTCACCATTCCAAACCC